GTCTGGTAAATAGACGTTTAATGTGGTATTTAGAGACACAACAGTATCTCCACTCGTCAATATGGCTTTTGTAAGGGACGTTCTACCATAGACCCCTTATTACGCTTGGATACATATGTTCGTAATGCCTTTGCGAATAACCACTCAGTTATTGCCATATTTTTTGACCTTGAGAAGGCATAAGACACAACTTGGAGGTATAATATTTTTGGCCGAAGCCCACTCCTTAGGCCTTGTAGGCAATTTACCATCTTTCCTTAAGAACTTTTTAACTGACAGACATTTCCGTGTTCGTGTTCGATTCAATAATGTGCTCTCCCCGGACTTTGTCCAAGCTGAAGGTGTCCCTCAGGGATGTGTTCTGAGCACAACACTTTTTCTCCTTGCTATAAATGATTTGGCCTCTGTTCTTCCATCCAATATTTGGTCATCACTCTATGTATATGACTTCACTATTGCTTTTGCAGACGCTGACTGTCACCTCACCGTGTTTCCAATTGGGCCACCACACATGGGTTTAAATTTTCCAGTACCAAAACTCACCAAATTACTTTCACTAGACGCTCTGTCATCTCCGATCATCCTTTGTACCTCTATGGCTCCCGTTTCCTTGAACGTGATACAGTCAGGTTTATAGGCCTTCTCTTTGACCGTAGGTTATCCTGGAAACCCCACATTACCTCTCTGAAGGCAACTTGTCACAGCCGGCTGAACCTTCTTAAAACCCTTGCTCATCTGTCATGGGAAACTGATCGTCGAACTCTCCTTCGCCTACATTCAGCCCTCTTTTTATCAAAACTCGATTATGGTGACCAAATCTATTCAGCGGCCTCTCCTGCTACTCTCTCTAGCCTTAACCCCATCCATCACCAAGGATTACGTTTATGCCTTGGTGCTTTTTGCTCTTCCCCTGTTGAGAGCCTCTATGCAGAAGCGAATGTTCCATCCTTGTTTGATCGCCGTGATGCCCATTGCCTTCGCTACTATGTGCGCTCTCACGATCTCCGCAATCCTTCCATTTATAGAATGGTCACTGATATTAGTAGACATTCTTTATTTGTTTCCCACCCCTGTTTCCTCCGTCCCTTCTCTCTTCGCCTACATTCGCTCCTCTCTTCCCTTCAGTTACCGCCTTTATATGTTCATGTAGCATCTCACTTTTCCCTACCTCCCTGGGAAGTTCCAGCTGTTCGGGTCTGTTCTTTCTCACTCCCTTGCTCGAAAGCCCAACTGCTTACGGTGACTTCCCGCTCTCTTTTTCTTGACCACTTCCACTCTCATTCTCATGCCATCGCCGTGTACACAGATGGCTCTAAATCTTCTGATGGCATCGGTTTCGCAGCAGTGTTTCCGGACAGCATCGTGCGAGGGCATTTACTATCTTCGGCTAACATTTATACTGCTAAATAGTATGCCATTCTTGCAACACTTATTCGTATCGCATCTATGCCTGTGTTATTATTTGTGGTTGTCTCAGACTCCCTTAGTGATCTACAGGCTATAGGGAAATTTGATACACCTCACCCCCTAGTTCTCCGTATCAAACTTTGGCTACGCCGTATCTCTACCAAGCATAAAGATATTGTTTTTTGTTGTGTCCCTGGTCATGTTGACATACAGGTCAATGACCAGGCAGACACTGCTGCACGGTCAGCAGTACATGACCTACCAATTTCATATAGAGGTGTTCCATTTCCGGACTATTTTGCTGTAATAGCTACCCACCTTCACACCCGTTGGCAACAACGTTGATCTGCTCTGCTCACTAACAAACTTTGTTCTATTAAACCGAGTATAGGTTACTGGCCTTCTTCTTGTCACCAGTGTCCGAGGTTGGGAAAACTAAATATCTCCCGCCTTCGCATTGGGCCATACTCATCTTACTCATGGATATCTCATGGAGAGGCGCCCTGCTCCTCTCTGTAAGAATTGTCAGGTTTCATTATCGGTTAGCCACATTCTATTAGAGTGCCCACTTTATCAACGAGCACGCAGAATATACCTCCAACGTCGTCTTCACTCCGCTGCTCTCTCCTTACCTTCCCTTCTCGCTGATGGACCAACCTTTCATCCAGACTCTCTCATTGACTTTTTGACAACAACTGACTTACTTCACAAACTCTGATACCTTCAGCCCTTTGTACCTCAATCTCTTGCTACCCTCTACCCCCGCACTATCCCCTGCCCCGCTGGTTTCTGTAACCTACTGATCATCCCTCCCCCCTTCTGCTGCCCGATACCCTCGCTTCCTTCTCTGCCCTGCAGAGTTGTATAGCCCTTGTGGCTTAGCGCTTCTTTTTTATTATAATAATAATGTACCCAAAGCTATATATGTCATTGAAGCGCAAAAACCCACTCCTGAAGTTACTCATTTAAATTTTTGTCCCTAATTTGTATGGACACGGGGGGGGGGGAGGGTTTCAACCATCATCGTCACGAGCAGATAAGAAAAGTGAGACAGAAATTGTGCTGTTTCCCAGAAATTAGGTAGAAGCTTCTCTTCTTTCACAAAGAGTTTGTCTCAAACACACAATGTGTTATATTTAACACATGTCTTACATTTGACATGCTTGTCTAGGGACCTATATTAAATATAAAAAAAAATATACTACTCAAGGTTCACACTTCTAACTCCACAAAACAGAGATAACAAAACAGGTGAGAAATATCCTTACTATACCAGGATTTCATTACTTGGACAGAAAAGAAAAACTAACATATAGAGAAATATAATACTATATTAACAGTAACCTATGAATACACAACACATGGATGTAGTGCAGGTAATAAGAAAGAGATGATTGCTAATGTTATGAATGAAAAGAAGTTGGATGTCCTGGCCCTAAGTGAAACAAAGCTGAAGGGGGTAGGGGAGTTTCAGTGGGGAGAAATAAATGTGATTAAGTCAGGAGTATTTGAGAAAGTTAGAGGTAAGGAAGGGTTGGCAACAATGTTGAAAGATCAATTATGGATGGAGAAGAGGGAATATAAATGAGTAAATTCAAGGTTTTTGTGGATTAAAATAAGTGTCGGATGCAAAAAGTGGATCATAATAAGTGTGTATGTATCTAGAAAAGAGAGGAGTGTAGAGAGAGTGAGTTTATGTAGGAACTTTTGAGCCAAGTGAGAGAGTAATTGTGGTAGGAGACCTAAATGCTAAAGTAAAAGAAACATTTAGAGAGGTAGGTAAGTTTAAGTTGCCAGGTGCAAATGATAATGAGGCCCTTTGGTTGAACTTTTTATAGAAAAGGGTTTGGCAATAATAATAATAATTATAATATAAATAATAATAATAATATAATAATATAATGTCTTTATTTATTACAAGTACATGTACAAGGTATACAGGTCTAGCTGACATCAGTAACATACAAGTATACAGAAAGCACCTTGTTATGCAGAGCATTTCGGGCAAATTAGGTCAGTTTTGTCCCAGGATGAGACCCACACCAGTCGACTAACACCCAGGATGAGACCCACACCAGTCGACTAACACCCAGGATGCGACCCACACCAGTCGACTAACACCCAGGATGAGACCCATACCAGTCGACTAACACCCAGGATGAGACCCACACCAGTCGACTAACACCCAGGATGAGACCCACACCAGTCGACTAACACCCAGGCGCCCATTTTACTGAAGGGTGAACATAGACAACTGGTGTAAGGAAACATTTTCGATGATTCGACCCCTTAGCCGGGAATCGACTCTGGACCCTCACCGTGTGAAGCGAAAGCTTTTGCCACCAAGTAATGTATATTTTAAGAAAAAGTGTATAAGTATAAAAGATATGATGTAGGACTTAATGACAGTAATTCTTTAGACTACATATTGGTAGATAAAAGACTGTTGAGTAGACTTCAGGATGTTCATGTTTATAGAGGGGCCACAAATATATCAGTTAACTTTTTAGTTGTAGCTACAGTGAAAGTAAAAGGTAGATGGGATACAAGTAGAAGTGATGCAAGGAGGGAGGAGTATATGGAGAGAAAAAGAGAGGTTAAGAGGGTGGTGGAGCAATGTAAAAAGAGAGCAAATGAGAGTGGGTGAGTTGTTATCAGCAAATTTGGTTGAAAATAAGGAAAAGCTTTGGAGTGAGATTAATAAGTTAAGGAAAGTTAAGGAACGAATAGATTTGACAGTTAAAAATAGGAGAGGAGAGTTATTAAATTGAGTGTTAGAGGTATCGGGAAGATGGAGGGAATATTTTATGGAGTTATTAAATGTTGATGAAGATAGGGAAGCTGTGATTTCGTGTATAGGGCAAGGAAGAATAACATCTTGTAGTAGTGAGGAAGAGCCAGTTGTGAGTGTGGGGGAAGTTCGTGAGGCAGTGGGTAGATTGAAAGGGAGTAAGGCAGTTAAAAGTTGATGGGGATATAGTTTTGTAGTGGTTGGTGCTTTTATTTAATATGTGAATGGAAGAGGGTAAGATATTTCTAATGGGGTTATTGAAAATATAGGATTTATAGGTATTTATAAAAGAATTTTATGAAAATATAGGATTGATTGGTATCTCTACAGGGATTTCTCGAAAATGTTGGAATTTATGTTTCTGTGAAGATTTATTTTAACTTTATCAAATATAAGAGGTATTTTGCATAGATTGTACAACAAACAGCAATGGAAATTGTTCATCAATTTCCATTGTATGTGAAAAACTCGAGGAAAGAAATTTGATCCAAGGAAATTGAGCTAGCCATAGCCTGATATCCTGTTTTTTGGGACTATGAGCTGGACCTCAAGAGCTAGCCATAGCAAAGCTATGGTGAGTTAAACCTTCCTACTGTGCTTGCCTCTGTAAATCTATTACTGAATATTTAGAACCTAGTTTTAGCTGTCTCCTAACCTCCGTCTGCTCTAGCCTCATCCTGATTTGCTTCCAGTTTCCTTATTACTTAAAACTTAATAATCAATATTGATGAACTTAAAGCCATTCAGTTTTAATTTACAATGTACCATGCCTCTTCTTGTTTACACTAACATTGTTCCACAGCTCACAACAACGTGAAGGTGTTCATCACACACGGTGGTCTCCTCAGTATGCAAGAAGCCATCTACCACGCCACGCCACTCCTCGCTCTACCTATCTTCGGTGACCAACCCAGGAACGGTATTTTTATTAAGAAATCTGGATTAGGAGACTTTTTGATATGGGAAGAACTTACTGCCGACATGATCATTGACTCTCTCACCGAAATTCTTAACGAACCCAAGTACGAACATTTTTTTAAGCCTATTTAAAGAGAAAAAAAACTTAACGTCTTTAGTGAGGTTTTTCTTGTAACATAAATTTTAAATCTTTCTTTTATGGAAGTATATACACTCTAGTTACGTAACTAGGCTCTTTATTCTTTATTCATTGAAAATTTGTAAATTTAAAATATGCATTTTTATTCATTTTAAAAGAAAATATAATCACTTTCTTGATCTAGACAAATAAAAAAATCACGTTTACCATCATTTTCTCATTAGCTGTCTTGTCAGGAAAGTAGATATCTAACATTCACACCACTGCTTAGTTTAGGTACGGCATTTTATAAGAGTAGAATTCAAGTCTGGCTAATTAGTTTCTATAAATAAATTTATGCATGTTATCTTATGCATTCTTAAATTTACAGCATTTAACTTTGTACTTATTACCTACACTCTCTCTCTCTCATGACCACCTTTCTTTGAAATATTTGATAGTATCTCCCATTGTCACCTTCACTTCATTCATTATCACTTCTCTCTTACTCCAACTTTACCTTACTGTTACTGTAGCTCCGCTTAAATAGTGATCTGGACATTAATATCCAGAAGTCTACTAGCAATTACCACATCGAATCTCCAACACTTATTAATGTACTTTTTTCTAGAAAAAAAGTATTACATATTACTGCGTCTTTTTTTGTGTAGCATATTTAGAGGCCACCCATTTTCATTTGTCCTTGGCACTCGAAACATATATACTATGGCATCTTCAACAGTTTCCTCACTTCAGCATAAATGTCACCCACAACAGTTATTCTGTCACTTGGTTCAAAACTCTCTACAGTACTATGAAGTCAATTCAGCCCGGGGAGTATTCACATATACTATAACATCTTAAATTCCACTTTACTTCTAATCCTCATCCGTCTTGAATTTGCAACACTTGAACTAACTCCTTTCCTTCCATAACTATTTAACGTTTTTGCTGTCTCTTATTTAATTCTCTAAAATGTTTGGGTAATCATTCAGATTTTCTCACTGTACTTGTGCACAGGTATAAGGAAAACGTGCTGAGGATGTCAGTGCCACTGCATGATCAGCCTGTACCACCCACGGAGCTGGCAGTGTTCTGGACGGAGTACGTCATCCGTCACAGAGGTGCGCCCCAGCTGAGGTCACCAGCGGCACAGCTCTCCTGGGTGGAGTTCCTCATGCTGGACGTTATCTTCATACTCCACTTGGCAATAATTGTCCTTCTATTCATTCTACGTCGCGTCTTCAGAGTCATCACTGCTAAAATCTTCGGAAGTAGTGGCAAAATGAAGAAGAAAAATGAGTAGCAATACCTTCATTGTGGGCAGGAGTACATTGTGTTAAAAGTTAGTGTTTTCAGCTTTTCGCTTACACTTTTACCTATTACTAATCTGTCAGTGGTTATGCCAAAGTGTCAATATGTATAGAAAAAAATAATTTTTTTTTTTAAATTTTCAGAGTAGGTCGCTCGTGCCTCTCGCAGCTACTGGATCAGTATGATATGGTCTTGGATGCATTGGAAGAACAACAGAAAGAAGGTGCAATATACACAGCCTTTGAAAAAGCCTTTGACAAGTGCCATCATGGTGTAATAGCGCACAACATACGTGCTAAATAAATAGCTGGTAGAGTGTTAGTTAGTTAGTTTAATATGTTTATTATACACCCCATACCCATCCTGTGGGCTGTAGTCAAAAGATTACAGAGGTACATAATTGGTCCAGGGACTGGACTCCAAAGTTTTGATAGCGGAGCAAGTTACAAAGGTAATGAACTCACAATTTACAAAGATAATGAACTCACAATTTACAAAGGTAATGAACTCACAATTTGCAAAGGTAATGAACTCACAATTTACATAGGTAATGAACTCCAGGTAGCTCTGGTCACAATCATGACAAGTTACAAAGGTATTTACAGATTACAGAGGTATGTGGAAACATAAACACAAATGCAGTTTAATATGATCCTTTATTGACAACGTTTCGCCCACACAGTGGGCTTTTTCAAGTCACAAACAGATCTACCTGGGTTGGAAGGTAGTGAGTATTTATAGTCAGGTTCAGAATGTTGAGGTCAGGTGGAGAATGCTGCATCTGATAATCTATCGGGTGGGGTTATAGAGTCTAAAATCTTGGGTAGCTTGGCAGATCATCAGATGCAGCATTCTCCACCTGACCTCAACATTCTGAACCTGACTATAAATACTCACGTACTTTCCACCCCAGGTAGATCTGTTTGTGACTTGAAAAAGCCCACTGTGTGGGCGAAACGTTGTCAATAAAGGATCACATTAAACTGCATATGTGTTTATGTTTCCGTAGTGTCGGTATTTTATACCATTTATTTTCACAGAGGTACGTAATGGGTCCAGGGACTGGGCCCCCAAAGTTTTGATAGCTGAACTACGTACAAAGGTAATGAACTCACAAGTTACAAAGGTAATGAATCCTGTAAGAATGGTTACTTACGTTTATACATGGCTACAATCATGAACAAATTATAGTGTAATGAGCAATTCACACTTCCACACCCGGTCACAACTGTAGTGAGTTATTGGTGCAAATATTGATTGTTGAGTCACACACACACACACTTACACTCACGCACCCACACGCACACACACACACACACACAAACACACACACACACACACACACACACACACACACACACACACACACACACACACACACACACACACACACACACACACACACACACACATACACACACACATACACAAACTCATACACACACACACACTCACACTCACACAAATAACACACACACTCATACACAAACTTATACACACAAGCACACACACTCATACACACACACAAAAAACACACATACACACACACACACACACACACACACACACACACACACACACACACACACACACACATATCCAGACTTCACATACACTCCCCCCCCTCACCACCGACATCTCACTTCTTCCCTGATCACTCCCCTCCCTCGTTAAACCCTCCCCTCCCCCTTTCACCCTCCCCCTCCCCACCCCTCTCCCACATGGGCCACAGTTCCCCCCACTACCTCCCCCCCACACTCTGACATACACACTACTAACCTAACATACAGAACTAATAGGTTTTCCCACTCTGAGGCAATCAGGATAAAAAAAAAAATGGTTGTCAGAGAGCAACAAGAAAACCCAAGGACGGGAGGAGGAAGCTGCAAAGGAAAATTGGCAGCAGAGCTCATAAAAAGAGATCATGAATGGGAAAACAAACTAGAAGAACTTAGCATGAGAATGGAAAAGAGGATAGATATGGAAAGCAGGAAGTGGGAGGTGCATGCCCAAAGCAGCAGAGGCTAGGATACAGAGTTTAGAAGAGGAACTGAAAAATCTGAAACAGCCTAATGAACTAAAGAACATTTTGGGATTGACAACAGAGACTACTACCTCACCACAAATAAGGGGACTGTAGGGAAAGAAGGCACAACTACATGGGGAAGCTATATCAGAGGAGACTGTAAGTAAATGAAAGAGCTAAGCTTATGTGGAGGCCCTAACAGACAACAACAGAGCTCAAGGAAAGCCGAGAAGGTAAAATGACAGGCCACTGAGCCCAAGTACATTAGACAGTGAAACTGAAGAAAAGAAAGCTGCAGTGCGGGGAAACCAAATTAAATGAGGGATACACGGGGAAATACGCAGTGGGAGAATGAAAGGGTGAGGTCAGTCTTTGTGTATGGGCTCCAGGAAGTTGAAGGGGAAACATATGAAGCAAGAAAACAAAAGCAATTGAAAGCATCATGAAAGCAATAGGAGAAGACGACATGACCCAGCTGGAAAATTTTTGGAGAATAGGGGGGTTTGTAAAAAAAAGAACCCGGCCAGTGAAAGTGACCTTCAAGGTAGAAGCGACTCGGACCAGGATCCTACAGGAGAAAGCACGATTAAGGGACATGCCAGCATACAGGAAGGTGTATCTCGACCACAACAGAACACAAAAAGAAAGGCAGAAACTGAGAAAGATGGTACAAAGGCGAAAGGAGGAAAGAGAGGGGATGGAGAAGACAGACAGGAGATCCCAGACCCAGGAAGAAGAAACAAATACAGCCTCCCTCACAACTTCCTATAGAAGCCTCTCAACCAGGTCAACCCATGCAACCAAACACTCTAAATCAAAACACCCATGCCACATCCAATGCCCCCACCCACTACATTCAAACTCCACCCCCAAAGCAACAACCCATAGTTCCTTACCAGGTCTCCCACTTTCCCCAACCCCAATATACCTCCCAGACCACAGTCTTAGAAAAGAAGTTGAAGGTGTGGTATACAGATGCAGATGGAATAACAAACAAGTAAAGAGGGGTGGCACGAAAGAAAACAAAGAGACATCCCCAACATAATAGCACTCACAGAAAAAAAACTCCCCGAGAATAATAACAGATTCAAACTTTCCATCCGGATACCAAATCCTCAGGAAAGACAGAGGGAGGAGAGGGGGAGGAGGAGTTGCACTGCTCATTTAAAAACCAGGGATTTTGAGAAAATGGAAGGAATGGATGGCATGGCGAAAGGACTACTTTGTAGGAACAATCCAGTCTGAGGGACATAAGGCGATAATTGCAGTAATATACAACCCACCACAGAACGCAGGAGGCCAAGAGAAGAATACATGAGAGCAACAAGCAAGAAACGACACACTAGCCGAGGTGGCCAGGAGAGCACACATGGGGGAGCAAAGTTACTAGTTATGGGTGATTTCAATCACAAGGAGAAATTTACTGGGGAAAACCTGGAAACCCCATGGGGTCCCGAAACATGGAGAGCCAAGATGATGGATGTGGTACTGGAAAACCTCATGCATCAACATGTTAGAGACACTACCAGAGAGAGAGGAGAGGATGAACCAGCAAGGCTGACCTTGTATTCACCATGAGTAGTTCGGACATCGAGGTATCATGTATGAAAGGCCCCTGGGAGCTAGTGACATGAGGTTCTGTGCTTCGACTACATAATTGAGCTCCAAGTGGAGAGAGTAGCAGGAATAGCTGGGAAAAACCAAACTACAAAAGGGGGAACTACTCAGGCATGAGGAACTTCCTTCAAGACATTCATGGGAGAGGGAACTTACAGGAAAACCAGTACAAGAAATGATGGACTATGTAGCAACAAAATGCAAGGAGGCAGAGGAGAGGTTTGTTCCCAAGGGAAACAGAAATAATGGGAAGAACAAACGAGTCCTTTGTTCACCCAAAGGGGTAGGGAGGCCAAAAATAGGTGTACTAGAAAGTGGAAAAGGTACAGAAGACAGAGAACTCAGGAAAAATAAAGAAATCACCGAAGAGCCAGAAACGAATATGCACAGATAAGAAGGGAGGCTCAGAGACAATATGAAAATGACAAGCATCAAAAGTAAAGACTGACCCGAAGGGTGTTGTATAGCCACATCAGGGAAAACAACAGTCCCAAAACCAGGTAATCAGACTGAGGGAAAGGGGGATGAGGAATTCACAAGAAACGAAACCCAAAAGGTATGTCAGGAGCTCAACAAAAAATTTAAAGAGGTATTTTCAGTGGAAAGCAGTAGGACTCCAGGAATCAGAACAGGGGGCACACCACAAGTGCTGGGTGAGGTAAAATATAACCAAGGAGGAGGTGAAGAAGCTGCTATGCGAACTTGACACCTCAAAGGCGGTGGGACCAGACAACATCTCTCCATGGGTCCTTAAAGAGGGACCAGAGATATTGTGTGAGCCATTAACAAAGATCTTCAACACATCATTGAAACTGGACAACTCCCTGAGGTATGGAAAATGGCAAATGTAGTCCAATTTTTAAAAAGGGAGACAGACATGAGGCACTGAACTACAGACCTGTATCACTAACGTGTATAGTATGCAAGGTCACGGAGAAGATCATCAGGAGGAGAGTGGTGGGGCACCTGGAGAGAAACAAGTGAATAATTGACAACCAGCACGGTTTCAGGGAAGGAAAATCCTGTGTCACAAACCTAGTAGAGTTTTATGACAAGGTGACAGAAGTAAGACAAGAGAGAGAGGGGTGGATCGACTGCATATTTTTGGACTGCAAGAAGGCCTTCGACACAGTTCCTCACAAGAGGTTACTGCAAAAGCTAGAGGATCAGGCACACATAACAGGAAAGGCACTGCAATGGATCAGAGAATACCTGGCAGGGAGGCAACAACGTGTCATGGTACGCGACGAGGTGTCAGAGTGGGCGCCTGTGACAAGCGGGGTTCCACAGGGGTCAGTCCTAGGACCTGTGCTGTTCTGGTATATGTGAACGACATAACGGAAGGGATAGACTCAGAAGTGTCCTTGTTTGCAGATGATGCGAAGTTAATGAGAAGAATCAAATCGGACGAGGATCAGCAGGACACAAAGAGACCTGGACAGGCTACAAGCCTGGTCACGCAACTGGCTCCTTGAATTTAACCCTGCCAAATGCAAAGTCATGAAGATTGGGGAAGGGCAAAGAAGACCGCAGACACAATATAGTTTAGATGGCCAAAGACTGCAAACCCCACTCAAGGAAAAAGATCTGGGGGTGAGCATAACACCGAGCATATCTCATGAGGCGCACATCAATCAGATAACTGCTGCAGCGTACGGGCGCCTGGCAAACCTAC